ACTGAGATCTTTTCTCTGTGTTTTAAAACAAGAGGTTACTCCAGAGGTGCCAAATCCTAGTGACAGTGACGGCTGCATAGGCGGCCTGCCAGGAGCTCCAACACCACATCTCATTTATCTCAAATGGCGTCAGCCTGCCTTTGCGTCTCATGGTGCCCACAGATAACGTTACCTAGCTTTTAGCTAGCGCTCTTCATCCATAGATCTCAAAGCACTTTACAAAGAAAGGTCAGTATCATTATCCCCATTTTACAGATGGGGAAAACTGAGGCACAGAGAGGTGAGCAGACTTGCCCAAGGTTACCCAGCAGAGCTAGAACAAGAACCCAGGTCTAGTTCCCGAGTTGTAGTTCAATGCCCTATCAGCTAGGCCCACCACCTCCCAACTATAAGTCCCCAGCATACAATATTCCATCTTGATTCCTAACTACAATTCTGTTCAACTGGAACATTGCATACTTGAACCTGGGGCCTCCAGGGGCCAGAGCTTGGCATTAAAAATGAGGGTGGCATCTGGATACCCCGGCTCACAGGCTGTAGTCTTTCCTAATGTTTGTGCATTTGTTTTCCAGTTGGGAAGCCAATTAAAGTGGAGAAGAAGCACAACCCATCCCAAGAAGAAGTCGATCGATTACATCAGACGTACATTGAGGAACTGTGCAAACTCTTTGAGGCGCATAAAACTAAATACAATGTCCCAGAGGACAGGCATCTTGAATTTATATAAACCAGGCCACCCCATTTGTTGATACTGGGGATGGGCCCGAAAGTTCAGCTCCACATTTCTCCACCATCTGGAGCCTTCAGAACGTAAGGTTTGGGGTTCAGCCCTCTATAAAGCTAAGGGGCAGCTACAGATTTGGGGTCTGTTTCCCCAACGTCTGTGTGTGTTTCGATCCAGAGTTTGAATTTAGGCCCATCTCTAGTTTACACTAGTGCCGTATGGTACTTTCTCCAGTTTCCATTTTCTAATGTCACGATCACTTGGTAAGAGATCGTCAAGTAAAAATCCCAGCAATATTAAAATTCCCCTTTCGTAAAACTCCTATTTCCAATTCAGCCTTAAGAGTTACATCACCTTTATTAAATCACCCTGCTATTTCCAGACAGTGGCAAACTATTAAGACCCTCCCTGGCATGTAACTCTAGATGGGTGTTGTTTTCATAGGTTAGCCATGAAAACGCTCAGGCTCAAAGAAGCAGAGGTCAATGCCCTCAGCCTCCGTATGGGCTATTGAGCCTTTCACCGCGAGGTCGCCTTTTTGGCTTCAACAGAGGTTATGTCTGCACTGCAATCAGAAGGGGCAATTGCAACACCCGTACACATACCCAACTTGGCTTTGATCTAGCTAGCAATGTAACTGCTCCTGAGTAAAAACAGCAGTTATGCTACAGGAGCAGCGGTAGCTCCACAGACTAGCTCTGCCCGCCCGGACCCTGGATACATACCTGAGTGGCCTTTGCCCAGACATGTCTACACGTGCTGCAGTCACACCTCCTGACTGCCGTGTAGACCTACCCAGAGTTATTCAGCATTCAGACCAAGGTAACAGATAGGAACGTCTATCCCAAGGGATAGCTCAAATCAGTCACCAATGAGCTGAGAATGGGCACTGAAAAAAGAATGTTTATTCATCATCTCATCTGTGTAAATTGCTATAATTTTTTAAACAGAATTTTGACAGATAAATGTTTGCTGGCTAATCTCTTCATCTGGTGCTGGTTCCGGTACTCACACTGGGTTATTTCCCCCTTCCCTGAACTAAACATAATTTACTAGGAGATTCAGATTCTCGGTATCACAGCATGGCCCTGTGTAACCAAGAGACCTGTTGCCATCACTGAATGCTATACCCCACTGGCATGAAAGAGATGAGGGCCCTTTATAAAGGGCAGGGTGAATTCCAAAGGGTTTGAGATCCCAGCTGAGGCAGCTCCTGCTGTGTGTTAGGTCTGGATAGTTTGGAAATGCTCACAGTTTGCCATGTTACCCACATTTCATCACACCGTGCTGTAACTGTATAGGGAACCAAGGATTCCCAAGTGCTTTGTTAACATTCATTAACCAGGCCTCGCAACACCCTGATGAAATGGATCGTTACAGACACAGAGACTGTTTCCCTCATATTAGGTAAACTGAGGCACAGAGTGATACATGGCCTAATTGTTCTCAGGCACTGGGCACCTACCAACTCTACTGAAACCAATGGGAGCTACTGATGTTCAGCACCTTTGAAGAAAAAAAATCAGGTTGTAAGTGACCCCAGCCCTCAGGTCACCCCGCTAGTTAGTGGCAGAGTGAGGGCTAGATCCCCGGAGTCCTGATTCCAGTTCTACCACCCTAACCACTAGATCAACCCTCCCATCCTTTAGAATGCGTTGTGTCTACTGAAATAGTGATGACTGCAAGAAAAAAAATGAAGCTGAAATTCCCAAATCCCTTTGAAAACAAACTCTGTGAGACTACAAGACCTTTCTCTCTTCCTCCAGTGCAATCCTACTGATTTCAACGGAGCTGCACCAACATACCAGACAAGAGAATCTGGCCCAGAGAGTCAAAAGTGAATGGTGCTATGTACACATAGCTTTTAATCCTAAATTCTTTCTTAAAGGGAGAGTGTGATGGGTTCAGTCACAGAGACCCCCTTGGGACTGTCACCTGACGTGCTGGAATTACCTCTGAGCCTGTTTTCCCTGCCAGCTTGGGACTCCAGAACCCTGCCTTGTTGAGCCAGACACGCTAGCCTGCTGCAACACAGACCCAGGTCTGGTCCATGCCCCCAGAGCTGCAGACTTTAACCAAAAACTGCTCAGCAGGTCACCTATCTCTAGGACCAAGATACCCAGTTCCCAATGGGATCCAAACCCCAAATAAATCTTATACAAGGTAAACTCATAAACTGTCCATCCCCTATAACTGATCGAGAGATATGCACAGCTGTTTGCTCCCCCAGGTATTAATCCCTTACTCTGGGTTAATTAATAAACAAAAGTGATTTTATTAAGTATGAAAAGTAGGATTTAAGTGGTTCCAAGTAATAACAGACAGAACAAAGTAAGTCACCAAGCAAAATAAAGCAAAAACACACACGTCTAAGCCTAATATATTAAGAAACTGATTACAAGTAAAATCTCACCCTCAGAGATGTTCCAATAAGTGTCTTTCACAGACTAGATTCCTTCCTAGTCTGGACCCAATCCTTTCCCTCATACAGTCCTTGTTAGTTCCAGCTCAGCTGGTAACTAGGGGTTTTCTCATGACTGGCAGACCCCTTTGTTCTGTTCCACCCCCTTTTATAGCTTTGCACAAGGCGGGAATCTTTTGTCTCTTTGCGTCCCCACCCCTCCTTCTAAATGGAAAAGCACCAGGTTTAAAATGGATTCCAATATCAGGTGACATGTTCACATGTCCTGTGAGACCCCAGCTTCCATTCTTCCAGGACTGGCCCGCACGCACCCAGGAAGGTTTGCAAGTAAACAGACCATTTACAACCAATTGTCCTAGTCAATGGAAGCCATCAAGCTTCCAAACCACCATTTATGGCCCACGTTTTGCATAATTACAGTAGAACCTCAGAGTTCTACTTCATATTCCTAGTTTCAGATACAAGAATGATACATTCATACAAATAGGATGAACAGAACTCAGTAGATTATAAGCTTTATAATGATACCTTACAAGAGATCTTTTGAATAAAGCATATCCCAGTTACATTATATTCACACTCATAAGCATATTTCCATAAAACATTATGGAGTGCAACGTCACAGAGAGTATGAACAGAAGATGAGGAGGGAGAGGCTAACTGAGACAGGAAGTATGTTACTAAAGGGCACGTTTGTCAGGTAATCAGGACTTTAATTAGCTGCTTG